CTGCAGAATGAATCCCTCACCGTGAACACTGTCCGGCTGGTGCCGTCCACGGGCAAGACCACGTTGGACAGCGCTCTCTCAAAGTACCACAACAAGAAGGTGCACTGCTGCAAGATAAAGGGGCAGCCGCACAACCTGACCAAGCTGAGTGAAGGAGCAAAGACAACGATGCTGCTGGAGATCTGCGCCCCGGGACTGGACTACGAGCCTGGAGATCACGTGGGAATATTCCCGGCGAACCGATCGCAGCTGGTGGATGGTCTGCTGCAGCGTCTGGTGGGTGTTGAGAATCCGGATGAGGTGCTGCAGCTGCAGCTGCTCAAGGAGAAGCAAACCTCGAACGGAATCTTCAAGTGCTGGGAGCAGCACGATAAGATTCCTGCAGACACGCTGCGGAATCTGTTGGCTCGCTTCTTCGACTTGACTACTCCTCCCTCACGGCAGCTGCTCACCCTCCTCGCAGGCTTCTGCGATGACAATGTCGATAAGGAGCGGCTCGAGTTGCTGGTGAACGATTCGTCTGCGTATGAGGACTGGCGGCACTGGCGCTTGCCCCACATGCTGGACGTTCTGGAGGAGTTCCCCTCGTGTCGACCGCCAGCGCCTCTTCTGTTGGCACACCTCACGCCCCTGCAGCCGAGGTTTTACTCCATATCCTCCTCCCCGCGCAGGGTCAGCGATGAGATCCATCTCACGGTGGCCATTGTCAAGTATCGCTGCGAGGATGGTCAGGGCGATGAGCGGTATGGTGTCTGCTCCAACTATCTGTCGGGCCTGCAGGCCGACGATGAGCTCTTCATGTTCGTGCGAAGTGCTCTGGGTTTCCATTTGCCCGCGGACCGCAGTAGTCCCATTATCCTGATCGGACCTGGCACGGGCATCGCCCCGTTCCGCTCCTTCTGGCAGGAGTTTCAGCTGCTTCGCGAACTCGATCCAGCTGTTTCGCTGCCCAAGATGTGGCTATTTTTCGGCTGTCGAAACCGGGATGTGGACCTGTATGCGGAGGAGAAGGAGCGGCTGGTGAAGGAGCAAATATTGGATCGCATTTTCCTGGCTCTCTCCAGGGAGCCGACCATCCCCAAGGTGAGCTTTTGTGCGGCAGGAACTTTAAAATTGCACGAACTTCTCCGCCTGCTCCCCCACCTAACAAATGATTTGTTTGTGCATTTCAGACATATGTGCAGGACCTGATTGAACAGGAATTCGATTCGTTGTACAACTTGATTGTGCAGGAGCGGGGACACATTTACGTTTGCGGCGATGTCACTATGGCCGAGCATGTCTACCAGACCATCAGGTAAGGCTCTTTCCCTTTCTGCCTTTTCCCTTTGCCGTAGTTTCCCTTAGTTTGATTGCCTTTGTGTGTTGGGGGTTGGAGCAGTGGGTGTGGCTAACCTGTTGCTATTTCCACACATTTTCCTCTCGTTCACTTTTCACACTGACTCTTCTGGGAATTTTCTGTTTTTCTAATGCTCTGCGGTCAGGTATTTCGCCATTGCTTGTACACATACTTTTTTCTCCACTTGGCATTTTTCAAAGTTCTTGATTACATGCCTCATTGTGAAATACGGGCTCCATATACACACACAGGATATTGCATAAGAGCAGTCCTTGAAGGGTGATTTCCATGGGGGCCTTATCTTAAGCGGCTTAGGGTAATAGGAATCGAGGCAGAAGCAGAAGCTGATCCCCAGCTAATGCGTTTTGCTAATTAGAGGACTCTAATTATTGATTTGCAATAGAGTTACAAAGGAAACAAATGGAAGACATGTTCATTTGCTTGGCTAAAATGTCCTGTAAAATTTATGATAATTACTTTGCCCTAAGGGAATAAATATTGTTGCTTTGTTGTCCTTATTTGCCGAACAAAACAAATCTGTTTTCATTCTCATTTCTCTTTGACAGGAAGTGCATTGCCGGCAAAGAGCAGAAATCGGAGGCGGATGTTGAAACTTTTATGCTAACACTGCGAGTAAGTTTCCCCTGAGGGTGATCCCACACAAGTTCACATTTCGTGCATGTTTTTTTGCAGGACGAGAGCCGCTATCACGAGGACATCTTTGGCATCACGCTGAGAACGGCTGAAATTCACACAAAGTCGCGGGCCACGGCGAGAATACGAATGGCATCGCAGCCCTAAGGCAACTAGTAATCAAAATACGAACAAATACCAGTAACCACCTATTATTTCCTAATAAATGTTGTCGCTTCTTTCATTACAATTAATTAGCCAAAGGTTTAATTTTATCAACTCAATTCTAATGTACAAACCAAAAACAGAAATCAAAATTCAAAGCTCTAAATGTTAAAATATGTTTCAAATAAATCAATTCCTTCAAAAAGAAACCCCAACAAAGCGTTTATGGGTTGGGCATTAGTCCGATGCAATTTCCAATTTTTTCCATCAATGCTTCTGTCAAAGGAAAGGCACCGGGCTAAGCGGCTTAAATTGGGTTTAGGGAAGTGGCAAGCGTATCCACTTGATACAGGTTGGTAAATTGTGCAGAAAATGCAATTTGTAGAATAAACAGCGATTTCCTTTCATGGCTCTTAGACCGGAGCCCGAAGATTCTTTTTCGCGATTCGTTCTGTGCAATTGTTGGGAATAAGACCAGCAGCTCAATGACAAACTGGCAAAACACGAATTCAAATCCGAATCTAATATAATTTTACCTTCCGCAAACTTCAATTACACTTTACAAGTCTCTAATACACTCGTTTTCAATTTCCGTAAAGTGAATAAAGATACACCAGACCAGAGCCCTGTGCTAGAACGCTGGCTGGCTGACTGGCTGGCTGGCTGGCTGGCTAGCTGGGACTGCGCTAACATTCCGGTGGCTGTCTGCGGTTTCAAAGCGCTAACAGATTTGTACTCGCACCTTATGCGAAATTCTAAACATCTCCATTCTGACTTTGGTCGAGGGGTTTACCGCCAACGCCAACGCATCCAGCAGCGTCTCTTTTGAACACTCGTATCTGGTTTCAATGCTAAAATTCAATTGAGGCCCGCGCTTGGCTTCTGTTCGACTCGTTTTTGCTTGCATTTTTACAGGGTTAACAATGGGTATATGGGTGTTTAAGCCAAAAATTTGTAACTAACAGCAGCCCACAACAAAACATGACTCTGGGGTACCTTTTCGTCGAAGCATTTCTTGTTTCATTTCGAATTTCGCTTTTCGTTACACTTTTTTTTGTAACGGAAAGTTGTGCTGTGGTGCGAGTCGTGGTTTGACTTCTGATTGACATTTTATTCTACCTTTTTCCACCGTTTTCTGTTACGATATAGCGCGAGTATCTCTTTCAATCAACTCGGCCGCGCTCATATTTCAGGGTTAGACATCTGTCAATAGCAGAAATACAGGAAGCTGATAGATATGGCTTAGGAAATGGGATTCTAAAGTCTGATTGGTTTGAGTTCTTTGAGTTTAAACGAGATAACCTGTACGCCAAGAGAGCTTTCACTGTATTTCCCTACCGCGACAAGCATTTCGAGTATCACTGACCTCTTGCAGTCTGCAGACTGCCAACGCCGCATTCGTCGAGACTTTTGCAAATGATGTGGAAATTCGCTGCATTGCTTGGCAATATTTACATATTGCTGTTCTTGTGGGTTTCAATTGAAATCAGTGCGAATGACACGCTGACAGCGCTGTAAAATAGCCCGAAATTGCTGTTGCCATCAGAAAAATGAGTGTAAAATGCTCCCAAAAACTGATGTCAATGGCTTATTGGCTCTTGCTCGATTCCAATTGCAATCACCTGATCTTTTTTCAGACTGGGGCAACCGCCAAAGGGCCACGACTAACTAACTGTTGGAGTGTAGTTACCTCTACGAATGTGAAAGGAGTTTGGAATCAGCCAGAAGAGCATCAACAAACGAAGAGTTTGGCACGCGCCCCAATCCTCATGCCCCCGAAATGCTAACCGGCTTTTGCTATGCATTCCCCCGAAATCAAAATTAATCAACCGAATTTTAACGCAGCAGACAACCACCGTTCCGACAGCCTCGTCCGACCAGCATTCCTGACATAATTCCGTGTGTGAGTAAGCAAACGAGTTCGGGAAAAAATTAGACGTCATCGGCGGCCCGTCCCAATGGACGCAGCTGCCGGTCTAGCAGATGACACACACAAAAAATGGCCCAGAGCATGGACCAGAAAAGTTGATTCAAACGCATAGCTGAACAGCACCTGAAAAAATGGAATTTTTAATATTCCGACGCAGGACAATATTGTAAACAAAAATAAAACATGAAGGGAACAAGGATTGGGCCTTGAAAAATACATATTTCAAATAAAAACCGCTAAAAAGCACTGGCAGACGCTACAAATTTCGATCTTGTTGAGGTTCGACTTCCACTTAGTCAGCGCTGACGTAGCCGGCTCAAGCACATTGGACAACGGCTGCAACAGAGCTTCAAAGAGAGACTTCAAAGAAGACTTCTTCTAATAAATCACTGCAATTCATTTTGATATTCGTTCTAGTATAATATTTGCATACTCAATTTCAGTTATTGTATCAGCTTAGAACATCCGCTGCTTAACAAGCCTGCAGCATTTAGCTTTAAAGCAGCCAGATCGGCATCATTGTTCAAGCCCATCTTGGGACTTGCTTTGCCAAACGACGCGCACACATGCAGTGCGGCCACATGTGTGTACAGTAAATCAAAAAATGAAAGGCACACTAACAAAGGTGGTGCAGTGAGATGAATGAATCTTACAGTGAAAATGCAACACACAAAAATTTAAAAAAAGCAGACAATGCATAGAAGAAACGGTTAGAAATTAATGTAGAATTATTTGTATTAGTAGTAATTAATCAACAATGTCTCAAGAAACGCGAAAATATTTCACCTGCATAATATGATAATACTTTGGGCGTGCCTTAACTCTTTTGATACACTGTACGAGTGTATGTGAGCGAGCGAGCATGGTTACGGACAGCAGCAGCAAAACAGAGCAGAGCAGCGCAGCGCTATGTCGCCGCTTCGAATCGTTTATTTAGTTAGTAGCGAGATTTGAGCGGGCAACGTTGACGTCGCGGGCTGAACCAGCAACTAAAACGGCGACTGAAGAAGCGCTCAGATACAGTGCGTACTCCCTATGCTGAACGGCTCCAGAGTGCAAGTGGTGGTGTGCTGTGTGTGTGCGTGTGTGTGTGACGGCGACGGTGCGCGAGGCGCAGACATGAAGTGAATAAGAAATTGAAAAGCACTAAAAGACATCGCAGAAGCGCGAATAAAACGCAAGAAACGTGGGCAAAGGCAAAGCCAAAGCCAAAATCGAAGCAAAAAACCCGACAAATCCACAACAACGGGGGCCCAACAGCGGCCACTGCCGCGGTTCCAGCGATAATCACAAAATATTTCTCTGGGGCCTCTCAAAGCCAAAAAGCGCGAACAATTTTGTCGGCTCCAAAACGTAAGTGGCTGTCAGTGTGTTAGTTACAACAAAACAGGGCGACACTTGTAATAAAATTTCAACAACAAAACGAAACTAATGCATTTTGATTGTTGATTTCGGTTGCCAAGAGTGAAATTATTGAACAAGAAATGGGCCGTTGTTTGGGATGGGAGGAGACTCCCACCGTTCCGCCCTAAGAAACGGGGTAGAATGCGCCTTAATATTTACACTCGATAAATATAGTAAGCTGTGGTGCAGTTCGGATGATTTCATACATTTAAAACAGTAAAGGACATTTCTGTTGAGTCAAAAGAGGTTAGAGTAAAGCCTTTCAGCTGATAATTAGAGCGAGAGTAAATTCCAGCTCCATTTGAATTTATTTTGAAGATTTTCTTGTTTGTAAATACAAATGTTGATTCAAGTGTTTGATCATCGATTTTCCGTGAAATAAATACTCGAACTCACAGTTTTACTAACAATTCCCCAGAAGTGTAGCTGGGCTGCGGCTGCTCCATCCATACTTCTGGGTAATTCGGATTGAGGTGTTTAATTCTCAATGATTTATAGACAACCATCTGCTCAGCAAACAATACTTGATGTGCCACTCGATTATTATCTAATTTTGAGTCTCTTTATTCAACACATGGTTGAGTGCTGATCTCAGCGTTAATGCTGTTTGAAATATATCAAAAAATAATGAGTCTCTGCTATTATTTCTAATGTAGATACTTTGTACTCCAGGGCAACAGCCAAGACCTTTCAAGGTTCATTGCCACTTGTCACAAGTTTTCCCGCTTGCTGCTGCTCTGTGTGGCATTTGGCCCGTTTATTGTAGGCCTTTTCATGAATGATCCACACGCGCCCCAATGGCATCATCCGACTGCAGCAACTACAAATCAACAAACAAACAAATGGCAATCCACGCGTGGCTACCTCTTTGGCCGTGGCTTGTGAACTTTTTTGACAGCTTTTGTGGCTCTCAACAGGCGTGTTTGTTCCGGGGGATATTGTGTTCCTTCATTTATGGCAGAATTATTTGTTTGCTCTGGGGATGGCTCTGCGAATCAAGCGTCTATTCTTTGCAAATTATACTTATATTTTCGCTTCTTTTTGAATAAGAGCCAGCGGGGAATACAGTTGCTTTTAATGGCCAGCAATTATTTGACTTAAATTATTAATTGTGCCTTATATGGTGTCTGAGATTCAAGGTTAGGAATGGCCAGTTACTGACATACGAATAAGTATAATTCTGGCGGCAAAATGCCTGAAAAATCTTTTGTGTCGCCCGTGTCGAGTATCTGCACTTTGGTCCAGCGAAGAATAAATAATAAAACAATTTCTGTTACGTGAGATTAGGCCATAAGCCCGGCCCATGTCGCGTGTGTGGATGATAGTTCAGCGACGCTTCACATTTACGCTGAACATTTATCTTTCACGTGTCTAAAAGTGAAAGGAAAATGCAAAGGAGACGACAGATAAGAGTATCTTAATGCAGGGTATGCGCAAAAATGGATAATCAAATATGCTTAATAAGTTGCAGGGATTGATTGGAAAGAAATCACATTTCAATAAATAAATCTTGAAGTCCTCATCTTTATTTATTTTCTACACTCTACTCCTTCAGACTTACAACTTCCTGTCGGCGGCAGGAGGCAACAAATCATTTAACGCATTTTAGCAACGTTCATTCCCCAGGGCTTGAGAGAGCGACACGTGGACCCATTTAAAGTAGTGCAGACCGACAGTAAAAAAAAAGCATAGACCAATCGATATGCATATATATTTTTGTACCCGTGTTTAGCAAACCAAAATTTATTTTTGAATTTTTATGAATGAAATGCCAAACGTTTCGAATTTAAATTCGAAACTGAAGGCCCGAAGAAAAGAGTGCGAAATGCCTCTTAGTCTTTTTTTGCACAAATTATGATGCAGAGCAGCTACTGGTAGGCATGTCAAAAAAGCGATCGCTCAAGAGCCAAGCACACTTATGTATCAATATGGTTTGGGATGTGCACAGACCGTAGATATACATACAACTTTTTTACAAATCAAAGTCCGCGAATTAAATTCGCATAAAAAAAAGAGAGAAAAGAGAGCTAATTGAATCGCAAATATTTGTTGGCTTACTATTTATTAAATCAATTAATTAAATGCATTTTGGTTACCAGGAAACGCAGGCCTTATGAAATATGTTTCCTACGTCATTGATGGCTTTGAAAAATGCCCAACGGTTCGATTCCCCTGAATTTGACTTTTATGTGTATTTCTCTTTGCTTAAACGCAAAAAGAGTATTATGTTTTTTCCCCGGCCGTTGGACAGTCACAAAGTCAACAGAGGGCCCCCCAAATATAAGGTAAACACGAGTGCAAAACTTTTTAATGAATGCAAAATAAACACCGATGACGATGAGCCCGCGGACACATTTCATTTCTTTACTTGTTCGAGGGATTCAATCAAAACTATAATTGCATTAAAGTTGGCAACAAAATCCATTCAATTACTTCACTCAGAATTAATTTCTGAAAGGCTGCGAGAGGGAGCAAAAATTCACTTGAACTTGTAACAAAATAAAAACGAATATAATCGAAATAAAATATTAATTAGGACGCCCGACCGAAGCATTGTTTCAGTCATTTGCAGAACAACAAAATTTCATAAAGAATTTACTTTGTTTAAAGTTTCATCAGGGGTTAGATCATCTCATTTCGGAGCGTCCCGTGTCCCGTGTCCCGTCCCGACTTGTGGTCGAATAAGCGAAATTGCGCCACTAATTGCCCGGCTGTGATGGCGCCATTGCGGCAGTATTGAAAATTCCACTAAAAATAATACAATAATAAATGGCGCCCAGCACCGAAGGCTGCTTCGGTCGCACGGGACACGTACGTGGTCTAATTAATTTGTTTGTAGAAACACAAAAATATTTACTATTAAATTATTGCCCCTCAGCAGCTCCGAAACGTGGGTACAAATATTTCGCGGTTTGCGGCCTCGTTTCAAAATTGATATTGAATATCGATCGAAAGAGCTGTGCCTGCCACGCCCGGCCCTGCCTTGACTCATCGGCCCTAGGCTTTGGGTTTTTCTGTCACAAGCATTAATCACCTCAAGTCATAAAAATGTAAATAATACCTTCCCGTTTTGGGGATACAAGTTTCTGTATTGTTTTGTTTTGTGAATGATCTGCCATAAAGTTAACTGAACAATTAGTGTCCAAGCGTGACATTTTCACGGATCAATGTCGGGCTGACATTTAGACGTAATTGAAAGGAAATAAATAAAGGAAATCCATCACATAAAGTGCTCCAACGTGTGAGTAGCGCCAGATGGTAAACTCAAAACAGATGAGCAGAGTTTCAAGGAGTTTGGATTATGACCAAGAATATAAAAGAGAAGCAACTTAGCCCAGCAGAGAGATTATCCCATTCACTATCAGCAAATGATCAAGTGTCTTTTGCTTACCCGAAAAACTCTTCTGACAATCATTACTTGCAGTAAAGTTTAACCCTAGCAAAAAGTTTGGCCCAAAAGTAAATTCTCTGCATTACAAGTTGTTGATTTTCGGTGTTTTGTGCCTATGCCTTTGTTGCCATGGCAGGCAACATGTAGGCAAAGTGCCACAAAATGGTTGTAAGTATCGGATGGATACCAAATTTATAACAAGGGAGCAGGGTAAACTTTCAAGTCAGAGCTCCCCAAAACCCATAGCTCCATCCCTTGGGCGTCGCCAAATTGTAGTTATAACAAAAACAAGCGTAAACAGAAACCTTTCCCGTAAGGGGGCGGTGAGTAAACATTCATGCACCATTTGCATTTTGAGACAGGGACTTCGAGGCGGGAGAACCAACTACTTTGCGTCAAATTTTTGTGTCAAATCAGCACAAATTCGGAGGCGAAACCACCAACTCTCGCATGGGGTAACCTCTTAAATTGTAGAGTCGTGCTCCTGCTCCTTCCCGGAGAGAAATGCAGAACAAACATTTTCAGCATGTCACAGAGACACACTCTGGCGATAGAGCTATTGACAGACGATAAGGAGCATCCGGGGAGTACATGTGACAGCACACATGGAACACTAAATGACAAATGCTGTAATGGTAGAGTTAGATAATAAGTCACTTGCTGTCTGCCACTTATGGAGTCAGACAATTGTCAAACAAAAAAAGGTGCTCCAGCTCTGGGAAGTCGAAGCAACAATTTTCATATCTTAGCACTGCCTGTCGACATGTCCAAAGTTTGTGGCTGGGATGCTGCTCATTTACATATGTTTTATGTTAAATATTTTATTGTGTGCACATCCCAGAACAGTTTCTGGCAACATTCTGTGGCTGTGGAGAAATTCGCATACGGAAACAATAATAATTGCAGGCCACTGATGTCGCTGACAACCGGGAACAACAAAGTTGCCGCTCTGTATTGGCTTTGGCATTGTGTTGGGTGGATTTTGTGACTTTGCTTTTGCTTTACAACTTCCACTTGCAGTGTACATTTTTGTGGCTTGGTCATCAACTCGTTTTGCACTGGCCACGGGGGAGAGGACGAAATTTGAATACTACTTTTGCTCAGCTCAAAAGTGGAGCAGTATCTGAAAGCATCTGAAAGTTTAAGATCTTGCTCTGGCCGGGCCAAACTGTGGCCAGCAATAATGAGAATCTTTTGTCTTTCAGTTTCACTCCAAGTTCATGCATTTCCTGCCTTCCTCCGGTTCAATCAGGTTGCCTCAGGGAAAGACGGCAAAAAATCCGCCTCAAATTAGATAAACATGTAAATGATTATTGACACAAAAGGGCTATGCTGGGGGCATGAATAAATTCAGAATATGTAATGTGCATATGAATACCAGGAAAAGGACACAACTGCCAATACAAATTGACGTTTTATTTGCCTTTCACCTGATGCCAGACGACAGCAGGCAGACAGGCAGACAGACAGACAGACTGACGAGAAAGGACCCCAAAGGAAGGGCAGACAGAGGAGCCCGAAGAACCTCAACGCATAATGAAGTAATTGGCTGAATTTGTCTTTGGCCAACAACGAAAGTTGGCCAGCCCAGGCAGCGGCAAGACAGGCACTCCTCGCACAGCTTTAAGATAGAAATTGATCCCATGTATCGGTGGCACAGGGGCAGCAGCAGCAGTCTCCATCGATGGCACACCGAAAGTTCGCTTTCTTGGCGCTGGCTTTCAAAATGTGAATGCACTTTTGTGGTACGTGACAGGTTTTTGTTGCTCCACTTTTGTGTTTCGCCGAACAGCAGGAAGGAACACAGCGACGTGGCTCTGTGGCTCTGAGTTTATTGACTTTTTGACTCACATTAAATGGGTCTTAAAATCTTGAAAAGTTTTGATGCGCTGGCTTAGGGTAAGCTGACCAGAGCGGAGGCCAGCTTCTGCACGTTCAGATGGATTTCGTACGTAGATTGTTCCCGACTTGAACTTGTTTCCCAAAGTACTCGCATTTATTGTTTCTTTTTTGCTTGGCTCACCTTCAGTTTATGGCATAGGAGCACTGGATGCTAACAATTAAAATGTGTTTGCTTGATTTCACTCGTTTGTGTTTTGTGTAAAGAATTTTGAGCAATTGCTGGGGCAAGTCACGTGCCACCTCCAACAGGGTCGATTATTTCTAATCAAGGGGAGGTTAAACAACACCGATTCGGCACCGATTATTGCATCAGCAGCGTAATTCAATTCAAACTAAACATTTGTCAGTGTGCGAGCACTCCACCAGACTCTCCTGCAATATAACCCTGTGCTGTCCCTTCAATCAGAGCTCTCTACGCGTGCGGAATGGTATTGCCATCGGCTGTCAAATGAATATTGCTTACAGTACACATATTTGACTGGGAACTCATATTCTTGTTTGCCCAAAAGGCCCCGCTGGCTGCTTCGTAGAAGGTGGAACTTGCTCAAAGGGTTTCGCTCACGATTCAAAGCAACGCCTGGCAGCATTTAAATGCAATTAAGTTCTATGCCCATCTACAATTATCTACGAGTGTCTGTGATCAGAGTTCTCTTCCAACTACATACACATTTAAGAGCTCAACAGCCCGTCAGGCAGAGATCGTGCTAAAAATAACGAAGAATTCCAGCACCAGCCCTGCGCCACTTAAAGGTAATTTTCGCTTGTTATGGCTTGCACGGCACAGGCACAGGAATATCTAATATGCGGGGATAGAGTCAGGAATAGAATAGAGCACACTAAAAATAGCAACCAGCCAATTTCCAAATGGCGCTGAGGGCAATGATGATGATGGCCCATAAACGAGGAGAAGCCCCAGCACGATGCAGCATGCAGCATGCAGCATGCCAAACTGCTGATTGACATAAAAGAGCAAGTGGACTTGTAAGAAAGAAAAAAAGGGACTGGCAGCAGTCATGCCAAAGAAGATGAATCAACATTCCAGGCGGTCAACGTACCACCACAAGGAATGCTCCTCCTCCAGCTCCAGCTCCAGCTCCAGGCTCTGCTCTGATGATGCTACTGACAAGGAGGTGATGCTGAATAAAGACAAAGACATGCTGCCATTTGGCAATGCTTTGAAAGAGGCTGTTTAACAAAAACCAAACAAGAAGCCAAAGTTGAAGTCAGAGCGAAGATTTGCTGCACTTTCCGGAGCACTGCAGAGGCGACTTCAGACTTAATAAGTAACTTATTAGCTCGTACGCAGATATCTTTAACTAGTGAAAATATCATGGACCATGGTTGTGGCACTTATTCCCCTAGGCCTCTCAGTGACAAACATTGCCAACCCATCGTTATACCTCCCCTCGATGAGAGAGTATGCCTTGACCAGCAGTGCAGCTAAAGACATAAAAATAAGCAAAGATTCCGGAACGTAACATTAAAATAAACGCGCACAGGTAAATCTCCTGAACGAAAGAAGTGCAGATTGAACGCTGACCATCTGACCAGCTCCCAGTCCCAGTCATGCAGGCGAAATGCAATCAAATGCGGGTCGGCTACCATTCTGGATGTCTGAGCCATGGTTGAGGGAGGAGCCAGGAGCCAGGAGCCAGGAGCCAGGAGCATCTGCAAGATGCACGCACATCCGTGAAATTCCTCATTCCTCATTCCTCGGCTGCTCAGCTGCCTGGCTTCATGCATTTACGTTGACGTTGCAATTACAACTGCGCTGGGGTTTGGGGGGGAACCGACCACATCAGTTAGTCCAAAGCCCTTTCCTTACTTTGTGTTTCTTCTGCTGCACATTCTCACGATGATGCCCAGTCGGTCGTGCATTCTGTCTGCTGCCTGCTGCCTGCTGCCTGTTTACTGTGTGATTATTACAAGACGCGGGGAAAATAACAGGCTTTCGCTGAGAGTCCAAGTCCAGGCCCTGCTGGACTGACGCCGTTGGCCAGCCAGTCAGTCAGTCACTGAGCCGAAGGAGTAAGTTACTTAAAGGCTTGCCCAGTCCTACATTCCCCATTCAGGTCCAGTGCCCAGTGCCGCATTCACAATGCTAAACAGTTGAAGTGCACTTAAAGGGGAAGAGGCATCCTGGGCGAAAGGCTTTTCCACTTCAACAAGTTGTTGTCTCTGCCCTGCACTTCCCCTTGTTCGCTCCCCTCCGCTTCTGATTTGCATTAAATGCATCTCAGCGGAGTGTGTCATCGCATTAATTGCGTAGCCCCAGGGAAATTCTCGTGCCTATTACTAATCACAGTTGCCATGCCATTAATTATGAGGTAAATTGCCAGATGAGCCTGATAATGGTTGACAGGTTGTTTAACTTTAATTGTTTAGCTTGATTTGAAGTCTCCTTCGACCTCAATCGTATCTTATTTTAGTGGGCTTTATGGGACTCCACTTCAACATGGAAAACTGCTGTCCATTGGATCTGCCGTAACGTGTGACTTTGTCAACTTTGTAGGCGGCAGGTCCAGGTCCAGGGCCAGCTTCGTCGTTCTTCTTGTAATCCGTGCGACGGCCGAAAGAGTATTGGGGTCCGCGGCCAGCCCCTGGTCCAAACTGGCTGGGCAGCATGTATGCGCCTGGTCCTGGTCCTGCTTAAGGTACAGAAAATTAATTCATCTAACGTGCAACGAAAACAAAAAATAGTTCACCAAAATTTCGAGACATTTCCTAGCAATTGATTTTCTGTTTCGAATGAAAAAGGTTAAAAAATTTTGAAATTTTAAAACTATTATGATGCCGAGACAATATTCAACTAAGGAATGAATAAGAAACCCGTAACAAATCGTTCAAGAGCTAAAAGTCTATGAAACAAAGATGAGAATATACACAAGTAGACAGATATAAGTTGTGACGCGTTCGAAAGCGTCCCACAACGCTCCTTCTCCAATCGTTTCAGGCTCTCCTCTCTGCACTGCTGAATCACTCTATATTTTGGGCAAATTTTTCCATATCGATTCCCCAAGCAGATTAATAGCAGATTCAATTAAAACCCAATCTGCCCAATTATCCGCAAATGACACACACAGATGCGAGCGAGATGCAATCAAATTCTACTCACGTTCATTTATTATTAACACCAAAGGCGTAAAAAAACATTAATTAAGCAACCAATTTTATAATTATAATTTCATGCACACGCCACAATTTTAATATTTAATCTGCTTCAGAGTGTTGAACACTTTTGCATTGTTTTGGCATCTGACTGCTGAATTCAATGCAAATTGCATTCCTGTACACATGAAGGTTTACCTTTGAATATTTTATTTTGGGGAAATAAGAGTAATTTATAATCATGATTAAATACCGAACCGTTTTAAATAATAAATAATAACAACTGTCGCAGCAGCAAAAGTCTGCAGACTAAATTTTGTAATTTTCCAGCACGAAAACTTCAAAAAGAAGTGCTGCAAATCGGTTTTGCTAGTTGCCAATTAACTTTTTTCAATTAATACTTTGGCAACATTCGACTTGACCCTTAAACTCTCTCTTCGCCGTCTGCCTTCTTTTGCCTTCTAAACTTTTAACAGAGCTTTATTAAAGCGAATATTTTGCTGACTTTTGTGTAATGCTAAAACTTTTTCTGATGCTGTGGCAGCCTTTTGGCATAAATTAAGAAAAATCCATAAAACTTGCATAAAATATTTATGCGAAAACTTGCATGTTAACGGGAAAAGGGATTTCCCTTCAAGAATTATAACAGCTGATAATATCGTCCCGGTTTTTATAGTTTCTACTTTCAATTGCAGCGAACATAAATGCACACAACAATGGCACATTCGTCCCTCTGCAGGGACTCGCATCAAAAGGATTTTGGAGCAGATCTGCAGATGTCGAGGAAAAAATGCAATATCAACCAGCAGCGAAGGGGACGACGACGAGCCTGGAGGGGGCCAGATGGAATTTACGAATCCTTCAGCCTGGCCATTTTCGTGTTGACCATTTGCATGGCACACACGTCGTCTACCGGTAAGTGTGGAAATACTGGAAAACTAATAAAATGCCGTTATGATGTGACAAGAAGACAGGAGGACAGGGGTTGGAGTGGAGCCTGAGACGGGCAGACTCTGAAATGTGACAGCAACGTGCAGCCGAGACTCTCGCATTTGCAGCCGTACCAAACCCCAATTAAAAGCACATCAATAACTGGGGCCTCCCTCCCACTCACTCCAGTCGGATTTGTGGCACACTCGTCGAATCGTCATGAAATTGGCACTTGGCGTGCCAGTGTGAGAGCTTGAGCACTGGGGCTCTGGTCTCTATGATTTTGATTTGGATTTTGATTTCGATTTTGATTTTGATTTATTTAACAATTTAGCAACAACACTGGGAATGTCACAAGCTGTGACTCCGCAACTACGACCGAACATTTCTCTGTGGAGAACAAGCAGGAGGTGTCTTCCTCTGGGTGCAAATCGATTAGGCAAAACAACTCAATGTGCAATGAAAAAACATGTATTTAAATTGCATTCAAGCAAAGACAGCTTGATTTTTGTTTAAAGGTGTCTTTCTCCTCTCTTTTTGTGTTTATTTACCGACACAAACATTTCTTAGTGTAATCACTCCAAACAGACTCCTTTATTTGATAAATAATTTCTTAGTTTTATGCTTGTGCGCTTCTCCACACACTCAAATTCCATGGCCGTGCAGGGAGCCAAAACTTTGCTCGTGGCATTGCCGCAGGCGTCTCAAAGCATGCCACCAAAATGCCCATACCAAAACTACACTTGTCGCTGCAGTTTAACAGCAAAATTAACACTACTCGTTGCAGCGCAGGACCCAGGACTCCAGTGCCCGGCCTGCGGTAACATTTGTGAAGCGCTTTAGTCGCTAAGCTGGGTTAGAGGCGACAGATTTTGTGGGCTGCTTCGCATATGTGCATTTTGCCCTTTGTGTTTCAGCTGTTCAAACATTTTTGCCAACTCTGCCGTTGTGTGACTCTACCCTGGAATTTTCTCCTGTGGCATCAGGATGAACACAACGATCAGTTTAGCTTGAACAGCCGCTTGTAGCCGTTTGATTCTGTTTAATTTATATTAAACAAGTGTAAAAAATGTTTTATAATTTCATGGCAGAACAAGGGGACATTGCTGAGTATTTACGGCACGACCACTTTCATTTTGCTATTTATTTTTTGTCCAAATGAGGCTGCTGGGTGGAGTGTGGGCTTTTGGGGATTCTCGGACTGGCAGTCGCGGAAGTGGCTGCTGCGGTTTTTCCATGTGTTTGCTGGGCAGCTGCAGTTTTGCCCTTGCTGCAGAGTCCCTCTGGCTCGTTCAGCCTTGTCCCTCTATAGCATTTTCATGTTGAGCGCTTAGCCAGTGGTAACTTTAAGAGATCGGCCACAAAGGAGTTTAAGTATTAGCATTAGGTTTGGAACTTGCACACTTTGGACCCCATTATTAAGGGGCTAACAATCCCAGCTCCCTTTTTGGTCTAACAATTGGGGTTAAGCTGACTTCAATCCAACGGCACGTAATTCATTTGCATTTTTTATGTCTACCTTTTTAATTTTCAATTAAGGTTGCAGAGCAATGAATTCCCATTCAAAGTTTTAAACAGCTTTGGACGCTCCAGAGGCTGAGGCATTTCAAGAGAATGAAAATAAGAAATCGAGAGGAAAATTTGGGGACTTTGTGTCTCGATATAACTTTTGAATCTATGAAGCACCATGGCGGAGCTGGGAGCTCTTACAATACACTAATTTTCATACTGGATGTCCTCAAATAAAGTACCCAAAAACGTGTGTGCAAAATATACAGAAAATTGCGATTTTAACAGCATTTTTTATGAACCCTAAATTGTCCATTGGGCATAAAGAAAAACCAAGTCTAAGCGGCTCAAGCTGCTGTTAACAAGAATCTATGGGAAAAGGGAAGGGAGTAGGGAACCCAAACTGCCGGCAGCAATAAGCATGAAGAAAAACTGCATCTACATCTAGAAACTCGCATGTGGATCAAGGAATACGTGTGGCAAGGATGCGATGCTGGGGGAGCCAAAATCAAATGTACTGAGGTAAAAAATATGCATATATAAAACAAACATGGCCCTAGGACAATTCAAGTCAAGGTGGAAAAGGGAGCAAAAGTAAAGGAGGGAGAAAATCGACAGAACATAAAAATGAACTACAATTTTGCGGAACTTTAAGCACATTCGTTGCTGTGAAAAGGTCGTCAGCGCAGCAGAAAAAAAGCGATTTGCATATTTACACCGATACAAGTGCAAACAACACCCACATTGGGGCTGACACACACACAGCCACAACAGCCACAGCCACATCCACAGAACTTGCAACCAAATAAATCTTGTGACGTCTCGAGAGAAAGACGTCACGTAGAGACAGTAAAGGCATGAGGCGAAATGGGGGGAAAAAGTAAGAAATGCTGGGGCTGGTGGATACGTTGCTTTTCCGGTTTCCTGCTCAAGTTCCTGCCCTACGTTTGTTGTGTGTGAAATGCTTGCAGTCGGAGCCGGAGATGCTTTGCCACGAGCTCAGCAGAAGGTCCTTGCATCCTCCGACCATAAACTGACGATGAGAAATTGTTGCTAGTTCACATGAAAATTGTCAGAGCGCTATTACGAAAATGAAAATGAAAAGAAAATCGAGCTCATCATGTGTATATAAAAATACATATTTCCCACCCACCCACTCACTCACTCACTCTCGTCACAGCATTGATAATGAGAACCATTGGGAGAGTGAAGACTAAACGTGAGCAAGGCACTGGATTTATATTCACATGGAGTAAGCGGAAAAAATTCTGGGCAAAGTGGTTGAGGAGCAAAAAAAAAACTATTCCAGAATGGTGCGTGCCCGGAAAGGTTCATGGGGCCAAGCGCGGACTGTCAACGCTGCTGTCAACTGACTTTATCAGGTGGGAATTGCAGGATACAGAAACAATCTCCTTAATATCTCCTTTAACAAATTATCCAAAGAGAAGATCTTCGACCTCGACCGAGAAGAGTGAAATTCGATCAATAAAAAGTTGCTCAATTAAAATAAATTCCCAGCTGATTCCTAGGTTACTTGGGACCTTATCATTTTATTGTGCAGCCAGAAGAGCTGTGGCAGCCGCAACCGCATCATGTACTCCTGTTAACTTGCAGCCCGGCACTGGCAGGAAAACCAAACATATTTTTGCAATGGAAGCCCCGTCACTGGGTGACACATTCAATGGGTAAATGGATAAATAACGATATGTTTACAGACGGCAGGAAGGCGCGGGCAGAAAGAGCAAGGGCTCTGGGTACACACGAGTATGTGGGGCAATGGCAAATGCTGCGCTGATTTATATGCGAGTTTTTCTGCTGTTGTTGTTGTTGTTGTTGTTGTTGTTGCAAGAGTGCGCACAGTCAAGGTGGCACGTAACACATTGAGAGACCCGAGACACAACTCCTTCCCTGTGTCACTTGCCCTGCCTGTTGCTCGATATGCCGCCTCTGCAAACAAATGCGCTGCCAGTGGGGCAGTGGCGGATATGGCGGCGTCTCCGAATGTCGTCTGAAGAATTTGTATGTAAACAAAGGCGACACACAACAAACACACGACATCTGTCAAACAAACAATACAGCGGAGGCACACAGCAAACGACAGTGTTTTTGTTTCAGCTTCGTGGGACGTGGGAATAGCAAACGTCTTCAAGGAGAAGACGCAACTTTGCTTGCCTTTTTCTCTTTATTTTTTTCGGGGTGTCTTCCTTAAAGCTTTAGCAAATTCTCGGGCGAAAGGCAAATAGCTGCTCATTTTTAATGCATACTTCATAAATCCTTGTCATAACTTTGTTAGTCTGTCGCTTCGGTTCACCCGCTCTCTTCCAGCCTCCAGCCTCCAGCTTCCAGCTTCCAGCTGCGACCCAAGTGAGTCTCCTTGGTGTTGCGTATACGCAATGCACTTTTTATGGCATATGGAACGAGTTCGTTGTAGAACTATTTATCAGGCATTTATATGCAGTGTGCTCTCGGCCATGTTGCGAAGCGAAACCCAGCTCAGCTCAGTCCAGATAACGATTAGATTGCGTGGAGTCGTCAAAGGCAAACTGCCGGCAGTTCATCACTGAGAAGTGGCCGAGTATCAAGTGTCATTAGGGCGAAAGAAATCGTTTATTAGTACATTTTAGCTGCGCAATAAATCTAGCTTGCGTTACGCTTCACCACTATGACTTAGCTGGAATATTTATGGAATTTACAAGACAATTTCAGGCTGCAAAGTCAAACCTAATAAGATCCAGCTCGCAGCTCTGCAGCTCTTCACCAATCAATATTGCTTCCAAGAACATTTCAACGTTAATTAGCATTGCAAAGGCCCAATTCCGGCTGCCCTCCTCCACCAAGCTGGCCAAAAATCCTCGAGCAAACCGGAAATACTTTAATTTCCGCTGTGGCCGCTCCTAATTTTTTTGTTTTTATATTTTTACTGCCGCTGGCTGACAGGAGTCTGTTTTTTTAATTGCGGTGCTTCTTGTTTTTGTTTTACACATTAAATTAAAGTAAATACTTTAAGCAGAGAGCGGAGGTCACCCAAAAAAAAAAAAGAGAAAAGTAGCGTGAAAATTTGCATGAAATGTTTTAATTCCCATGACGGCAATGCCGCGGACAGGACCTTTGTCTTCCCCCTGTTCCACAGAGTCCTGATTCGCCCACTTTCACCCGCATTGGATCGAGTTTGACATTTTAAAGACAACAGTTGCCCATCCTCACCCATCCACCACCCCAACGGCTTAATTGAATTGTTTAATGGAGTCTTACGACATCGGAAAAAAAGGTCCGGAAAAATCGAGAGCAAGGAATCAAAACGACATAAAATAAAATGCGGGTCGAAGGCAGATGCTTTCACCTTTTCCTTCTGCCCCTCTGCCCTCTCCCCGTTAATTTATTGCCACTTGGCAGTCGTAAAAAAGGCAACAAATTAACGCCCTTGGTCGGAGAGGGAGTCCAACAAAGAGGAAGTTCAGATAAAGAGCCGGACAGAG